TCCTCTGCAGTGCATCACCATGTGGAGCTCCCGCTCCTGTTCTCGTTCACCTTCGGCCTCGGAGTGCTCCCGATGGTCTGTGTCTCCTCACTGTCAAGCGACCTCCTGGGTGACCATGTCCACCGCGTCATCGCGCTGCATGCTAGTACTTCCATCAACTAGGTGCGAGCGCTAGCCTCCGGTGTCTCCGTCTTCCTCCCGCTCGTGCTAGGCGTTGGCGCCTCCGTCGGGCTAACCTTTTAGTCTAACCTATCCTCCACCCCTGATGTAGAACAACAACTCTTTTGCTCATATATTGTGTTTGCATTCCATTTATTTAGGGCCACTAGTTAAATATAACATTTTGTAGAACTCTATTTGGAAGTAGAGCTATTATATGGGTAGATCCATCGTAGCTTTTAGTTTTTAGTATATTTTAATGAGTTCACAACATTAATATGTACTCATTTGTCATTCAATTCAATTTAGTTGGTGCACAAACAAGGCTACTTTATTTGTGCAGGTCAAAAACAACTTGTAGAGCACCTTCATCGCAAGGTTCGTCATCACCTATGAAGTTCTTAATTTGGTTATGTGTACCCATATTTGAACATTGTCAGTGGGAGCTTGCTAGTTACCATCAAGTCATTTTTTCGCTATGTTTTGAATTGAATGGCTCAACAACATTGTGTTTTATTAGGACTTTTATAAGGATGGAGGGATGATATACACAGCTCATGGCTCATGAAGTACCAGCACCTGAGGGTGGCTGCCCACCATCCCCTTCCTCTTACCTCAACGTCAGGGGAAACGGTGAGGTAATCCATCTGCGTATTTCCATACCTGAGACAACTATGTTATATATAGAACAATCTTATACCCTGAGTATTTGATCTATATATGTAGGAGCAAGCTCCCACCTAGAGTAACACAACCACCGTAGATAGGCGAGGGCCAAGCAAGTTTCCCACCTTGCCGACCGGTAAACATATTATCACCGAGTTGGATCCGGTTGGAGAACCCGTGGAGCCAATTGGTATCATGGGGCCGTACAAGACGGCCATCGGGGTGTTATAGTGAAGGTACCCATCAAGTACAAGTACTGGAATAAAAAGGACAGTGAATGGGTGGTTCCACCCAGTCTGAAGGATCTTTGCTGGAAGAAACTAAAGGACTTGTTTGACTTTCTTGGTGGGTTTGATGAAGAGGTTGCAAAGGATTAGGCATTCTTTATCATGGGCAAGTCATTCAGGTATTTTAGGTACCACCTGAACACCCACTATGTAAACAAGGGCATCAAGTCATTCAGGTACTGGAGTGATTTCGTGAGTTGGAAGGAATCGGATGATGCGTAGCATCATCCACGATCTATCCTCCGGCTCACAGGTTGGCCGCTCGGCCCCATTAGTCAATTAACGACCTAGTGACCTACTTAGAGTGTGTAGCAAAGCTTGTCTTAACTGTGTTTCACCATTTTCTTGAGTTGCAGACAATAGTGTCATCTACAACAGAGTTGACAGATTTGGAGATATCTGGGTTACAAGAAGATCTTGCCGGTTTTATTATGGACCAAGTCGTGAGCACCAATGAAGGCTATCACCTTCTCTAATCAAGGTGCTAATGTTCTTCACCTTGTAATGTCGGTTTCATTATGGATGCCTGTTTGTGTCGTGAAAACTATATATTCGCTGTGGTTGGATTTGGACGTTATGTCGTTGTGGTTGAAAACTATGTATATCACCGTGGTTGGATCTAAAAACTATATATGTCCTGAGTTAAGATGGATGTTTGTTTGTATGGATATTTATGTCTCGGTGGTGATGTATATTTGGATACAATACGTTCTCTCTCTCTATATGTTGTTGGCGATGTAAGCCATTAAGTTTCTGTATTCTTGCTATAATTGTATTGTGAACAATGACGTAATAGTGGCAACACCACGCGGTAATGGACAAGACATTACCACCAGAACAAATGCAATAGTGGCAGTGAATCTGTCCTCATTATCACCGGAAGGAACCCGGACTGCCTACATTGGTACCTACATCACCGCCGGATGGTATGGAGGTCCGGCGTTGATGATCCCATCATCCCTGCCAGGTGGTACACTGGTCTAGCGATAATGGTTCCATTATCACTACCAGGTGGTACGCTTGCCCGGCGTTGATGTTTCTAGCATCACCATCAGATGGTATGCTGGTCTCGCGTTGATGTTTGCATCATCATCGCCGGATGATACCCTAGCCTGGCGTAGGTGTTCCCATTATCATCACTGGATGGTACACTAGATCAGCGTTAATGTTCCCATCATCACCGCCGGATGGTACACTGGACCGGCGTTGATGTTCATATCATCACCGTCGGATGGTATGTTAGACCGATGTTGATATTCCATTATCACTGCCGGATGGGTAGGGCGGACCGTCGTAGGTGGTCCCATCAGCACCCCTGTCTAGTTATCTAGACCGGCAAAGATGCACTATACCACCGATGGTTCAGAACCGACGGTGATGAACACTGACTATCACCGACGACTTTTACCGACGAGGGCCGAAACTGACAGTGAAGGAGGGTCTAGAATCCGTGGTGATGAACTTTATATAGTAGTGGAAAAAGGTGTCAGGTCCAGCTCCTCGAAGACGATTACCATACGAAAGCCAACGAAATAGGATTACGAAAATGTCCCCGATAATTATGTGTTGGGCAGGCCTCTACTCCTGTGGCACAAACTTTGATGGGGTTGCACCAGGGATGAAGAGGTTGCATGACTGGTATATGAGAGTATCTTCGGTTGAGATCAATGCCTTCTTTGCAACTATACCAACAATTGCTTTTCTTAGTGGCCCAAGCAAGGTTATGGTTGACTTCGAGGACATTGACTTGATGTTTCGCCTCGGAAGACTCGACGTCCAGCTTACATAATTATGTTTTATTACTAATATGTGGTCAGGCCATGAAATCTCTAATAAGTCATGCGCTTTACAGAATGCAACAAGACGACTAGGAGATGCGTTTATTCAACCCGATGAGAATAAGCGAGGACGAGCTCACAATGATTATGGGACCGGATCACGACGATTTTGTGGGCAAGACCGAGGAACTTGAAGTGGCCACCTACATAGGAAATACGTTTCTTGAATTTAGAGACTGGAGAGTTGTAACTACCCTATACATATTCCATTATGTTGGTCTCTCCTTGACTCCTATATAATTTTGATTCACAAAGTTACTTTACTGCCTTAACACATGATTTAATAAAATTCATGCTGGGGCCATTGGATTTGTATACACATTTTTCTCTATGATGGATGACTTTTGGTCCTTGACTCCCTAGATTACCCACAACACAGTTATAAAAAATTCATTGGTACGCTACAACAGTAAGTCAAGATTTGCATGCCTACTTTTCAACATTTCTATATTATTGATGACAATTTGGAAATAACTTGGTATGGAACAAGTATTCGGTAAATTTTAAATAAGTATCATACGTGTCTAGTATATAAGTATACATAGCAACTATATATAACCAGTTGCCAATTCTTATATAGTGCCACAAGCAACCATTGGGATCGGTCCTCTGTGGGTTCTACGTGTGCGAGTTTCTCAAAGAAAACAGGCCATACACCAACAACCCTAAGCAAGTAAATAATAATCATATGTGAAGTTTTGTCGTTACTGATGCAAATGCTTTGGTCACTTGTAAATATATGATGACTTAATTTTTTTTGCCGATATACAAGTGTAAGACGAATAATCGCCTCACAAAACCAGAGCTGATCATGAACATTTGCGAGGACATGTGCCGGTTCATCATGAAAGAAATAATTCACTGTAGCGGGAAGTATCATGATCCTACCTCTGAGTTAGCTAAGCCACGGTACCGAGATCTTGTAGATATTGCCAGGCTAGAACTAAACAGAGATGATTATTTGACACTTATGAGTTGAAAACTTTGTTGTATATACACTTGGGTTAATGATTATAGAAGATTGAAATAAATATTGCCTGTGATTTATATTTGGGTTCATTTCAATATTTAAAATAAAAACAATTCAGTGGTGGGAAATATATGGCGCCAAATTTTAAATTTTTAAAAACAATTCACTGGCGTTTATGCTACTAAACCGCCTGTGGAAAATATCAGAGACGGCTCAATTAGGTAAACAACTTGTGTAAAAGAATTTACACTGACGGTTCACATAAACCAACCACCTGTGTCAATGGTTTACACTGGCGGTTGGCATTAGTGAACCGCCAGTGTAAATCACTTTTACACTGGCAGTTTGCCTATTCGAACTGCTGGTACCCTTGGCACATCTCAGCTATATGTCTGTAAGTTTCACGATTTTCACTGGCCTTTCACTTTGGCGGTGGCGCTAAACACCAGTGAAAATGTGTCTAGAACCGTCGTTGTTGAGATATGTTGTACTAGTGATTTTACTCCTCTAAAAAAATTAATTTAAATATAGATAGTCCACGTGTTGGGTCCACGTCTAACACACAATATGTGTGCCACGACAACATATAGAGTGGGTTAAACCCCATTTGGACACAAATGAGACTCAAAACCAAGTTTAGGGTCTGGAATGATGTTATTTGCGAAGTTTAGGGATATGTGGTGATCAACTTGAAATTTCATTGACTGGAATGACACCGTTGGTCAAGTTTAGGGATCCGCAGATATCACTTTGAAAGTTTGGGGACCTAGATGATAAAGCGAGCGAAGTTTAGGTAGTACCGGTGAATTTCAGTAAAGAAAAAAAGGAAAAGAAAACAAACGAAAGCTGCTATAGTCCTCACAGGCACGGAACCAACGTGGCAACTTGAATTACGATGGATAACTCACAGGAAACGCGTACGATGTTGAAGATCAAATTGCTGATGTAGCTCGCTGATCCTTGTCCATTATGGCGCCGGCCGCCGGTGCCGGTGTTCGCGCCGGCCGCCAGCGCCAGTTCTCACGAGATAGCCTGCCGTACATTGAACATTGTCGCTGGCGTAGGTGGCTTCGTATTCTATCAGGCCGATGGTGACCGGCTGGCACACGTAGGTCTGCTGTGTCGTTTTCCCACGCTGAACCTGGACGCCAAGTGGTATTTCTCCCAGATGTAGCTGGTGTTTGTGTTGCTGAGCCGTTTCTGCAGCGTGATCGTCGTCCGTGGTGGCACAGTGCAGTTTTTCAGAGTCACGTCGCCAATCTGCCCGTACGGGTACTCCACGTCGAAGAGCCGCACGCGGGTGCCGTTGCAGTCGATCTTGGTGCGGCTGCCGGGGTTGTTGGCGATGAGGATGACGCGAAGATTTGTCCGGTCCGCCTTCTTGACCGTGACCTGAGTAGGCTGACGATCCCCACCGGAACAGCCAAGGAAGCAGTCCTTGGGAAGTGGCCATGGTCGTTACACACCTGGAGATTGTTTTTGATCGTGAGAAAAAAAAAACTTAAATACACTTGTGTTGTCGCACCATTGTTTATCCCCCTCATCACATCGCAGCCAAGGGGACAGACCTCGATGACGACGACGACTGAGCTTGGGTGCTGCTGCACCTGTTGCCGGTTTTGCTACCTTGTTAAGGGTCCGTTCGTTTGATGCAGATTGACACCAGGAATTGTTCCGGTTAATAAAAGCTTATGTAAATTGACTAATGATTCTGGCCGTAATTCTTCCTGGCGATCGTTCCGGAGGAAACGAACGAGCCCTAAGGGAGCTTGAATGATTCCCTGCTGACACAGGCGACTTCTTGATGTTGCGGTAAGAGGAAACGACTGTCACTGCTAAAAAACGATATGTGGCAACGTCTCTTTTTCTTTATAAGGTACAAATGGTTATCAAATGAGCCGCCTTTACAAATATATTTATAGAGGAATTTAGGGACCTTGGATGGAGAAACTAACAAAATGAAAGTTGTAGATTTTAAAAAGTTATAAAACTTTGTAGTTGACAACTTTTGCATTTGAATTAGTTTAGAACCTCAAATAATCAATTTATGCTCAGTTTTGTATAATATGTGGGGAACCAAAATAAATTGTAGACTCAAGTGATCGTGAGGTGCAGTGGTAGAGGAGTTTGCGCGTGAGAGAGAAGTCGCGGGTTCGAATCCCGGCCGACACAAAGTGTGCAAAAATCGTGAAAAAATGCTGCAACCATAGAGTGGGTGTGTGGCTGCAAGTGGGGACCTCCTCGGATTAAAAAAAATTTGTTATTTTTGCCTCTTTTTTCGTGATTTCTGGAAATTGATTTGTAGAGACGGTTCAATATACAGCCGCCCCTATAAATCGATTTATAGGGACGGCTGATAACACCAGCCGTCTTTATAAATCGATTTGTAGGGGCGGTCTAATGCATGATTTGTAAAGGCGCTTGGGTAAGGGTGGCTGGGCAAACCGTCCCAACAAAGCCTCTAGAGCCGCCCCTACAAATACTATATGACGTAATGTGCTTCCAAAAGGCGTCGGCGCCGATGTAGCCATTGTTGACGGAGAGGCTCATGTCTTGGGAGGGGAGCATGGCGTGGATCACCAATGCGATCACAGTGATGGTGAGCAGGGTTACCGCGGCAGCCACCGCGAAGCGCAGCATGGCGAGCCATCCGAATCTTGTGTGCTCGCCATCGTCGTCGTCGTCACCGCCTGCAATAATATACGCCATGTTCGCTTGGCTTATAAATCGTACTTTTTTCAGCCAACGAACAGTACTTTTCTCTCACAACAAATCAGGCAACAGTACTTTCAGTCATAGCTTATTAGCCAAGCGAACATGACAATATTTTATGTCACTCATCTTTTGCACTTATCTCTACGACTACGAGTGAACAATGGATCGGATGGGAGGAAGAAGATGCGTGTACTTATGCAAACCCATAAAGGCAGGCAGGCCTTCCACAGTGTGGGAGCTGAGTATGTAGAGCTAGCTAGACAATCGGAGGCCCACCCCCACGCCATGGCCACATGCATCCACACCAGGGACATAGGTATTTTTTCAGTTATAACTTCTTCACAAGATCCTTAAAATGTTGGTACTATGCATAGTTCAGGCTACCATTCAATGAAAATTTATCGGATCCCAACGGTAGAAACGGATTTTGCGAATTTCGGCAATTTTCGGAAAATTTCGGTCTAAAAATAGTGGAACCTATTTGAATTTCCCTCCGAGATTAGACCAAATTAACCTAAATTTTGACCAAAAAATCCGATAATCTTTAATCTCCAACAGAAGATGCACTGTTGTATTGCAAAGTTGTATTGCTGCCCTGTTGCTTCAGCCGGGGATCCACAGTTCATGCACTGTAACACGGGAGTAGAGAGGTTGCAGGCTAATTGGCGGCGGACCGAGAGCAGCATCGCCGCCGCGAGCGCACATGAACGCCTCAGCCGGCTCCCTTCCCACCAGCGCCACGGGCACTCCCTCCCCCTCGCGCTTTGCCCGTCGAACCGCAAAGGACTGGAGGCCAGCTCCCTAGGCATGCGAGCAGCAGGAGATCGAGAGCAATGGAGGAGGCGGCGGCTGAGGGGTGAGGAAGAGAGAGAGATAAAATTCTGCTCGCTTAGGCTTCAACCAGCATGTTATATAGTAGGGCATAGATATATGGGCCATATAAGCTTGGTTGGGCCGAAAAACAAATTCAAACTGGGCCGAAATTGAAAGGCCGGTATGGGCTTTTACTGGACCCTGGCGATAGAAACGAATTTCGCTGAAATTCGTGAATTTCGGGCCGAAATTCTGAACTCTACTACTATGACTGAGGCATGCATGTGCGCTGTTTGCTTTGTCGAAGACAAAAGTTGATATAAGTTGGTGCACCACAGCTTATAGCGCGGGATTGATCCGGGAGCCGCCTGTCTGGTACAGCACCACTACTCCATTATTTGTATTTCTCCTCTCAAATTCACAAGCTAAATGGGTAGCTCCACAAGCTCATCACTTCATTAACAAAATTAATCTAGGCCTACTCCAGGGTATTATGGAGCTCCTCGAATGTGGTCCAAAAATTCCTTTTTAATTTTAACCCTCGTCGTGGAGTTGGGGGTCCACCGCTACTAATAATTACATAAGTTAGTAGGGCTGGTTTGGATCCAAGGACTAACTGCTAGTTAAAAATTTGTCCAAATTCACTACTACAAAAAACTTAACCAAGGTGGACAAAATGGCTTAACCGAGGCGGGCAAGCCAACCATCTAAGTGCAAAGGTCACGGTTAATCGTGGCCTTAACCGAGGTAGTTGGCCAACCGCCTCGGTTAATCGATTAACCGAAACGGGCGCCTTGCAAATGCCCGCCACGGTTAATGAATTAAAAAAACAAAAAAAAGCCCAGAGCCCACAGGCGAGCCCGTTTCGGAGCCCACCGGCGAGCTCACCTGTTCCGCGCGGCCCCACTGCCGCCACCGCTGCCACATCCCCGCACGGATCCGGGGGAGGAGGCCCTGTAATGACCCGAGATTCATTACAACCTAGGCGATCATTTTTGGATAACGAGAGTAGCCAATCACCAAGATTCCTACGGAACTCTATATCATGCGTCGCACGGTGAAACACCAAGGACTCGATAATACACCCGGCATAAAGGAAGAGGACCCTGATTTGGACTAGTGTTCGTCCTGTTAACCTCGTCAGCCCCAATTACATCTCATAACACATGTGGGAGTGATGCATTGACCATTGGTATCCACGGTTCAATAACTTAGTCGAACCAACACAGGACAGAGACCACTGGATAGCCCGCCATTTTACCGGATCATCTGATAAGCACAGAGCAGCAACAGAAAATACGAAATGAGTTGTTTGTCACTTAAATGGGTGGGACCCACATGACAGCATGAATGAGGATGTATATCCTTCAGCTGAAGCCTCACCCTGTCCCTCGTCCATTCATTTACAACACTCACTCTCTCTCTAACTATCATGAGCAAAGAAGGAACCCTAGAACTAGAGAGAGAAAGGTTGAGAGAGGAGATTGAAGGAAGGGAAGGAGAAGAAGGACAAGAGCATCAGCACCTTTCCATGGATCTCAACAACACCCTCAGCTCACTCAAGCTTGAAGTTGCTTTGCTAATGGAGAATCCATCATGCATGAAGAAGGTGATGGATGGAAGAGCTTGCATGATGGAATTGAAGGAAGCTTGGATAGAAGAAAGGTGGTATCTTCAACCTCTTGCTATGGAAGCTCTCAAATCTTAGAGCTAAGGATCTTCATCTCGATCTCAAGGTTCATCCCTCTCCTCATGAGCTTTGATTCAATCCCTAAGCCATAGCCACACTTAGTAAAACTAGCTTTCAACCCAGCCATAGTGTGCCTAGTAAGCCACCTAAATTATCATAGGAATGTTTGGCACATGCAAGATGCACAACTCCACAAATCTAAGCTTGAACCCCAAGATCACCTAAGAGCATGGATTCTGTCGCCCGATTGGCGGAGAGTCCGTCAACTCGACGGAGTGCCCATAAATACCCCAAGAAGTTACTAGAAAAGCCTTACCCGTAGAGAGCTTGGACTAACGGAGTGTCCGTGACACCCTGCGGACTGTCCGTTGAATTATAAGGATGGTAACCCAGCAACCCGAGAGTACCCAGTTCATACCGGAGAGTCCGTCAACGGACTGGACCACCCGATGTGAACAGAGAACCTTAGATATACCTAAGTCCCAAACCTACCGGAGTCTCCATGATCTCCACGGAGCGTCCGTCAATCAGTATAGAGCCAGAATAGAACCAAACCACCTTGGTACTTGGTACAGCGGAGTGTTTGTCAGTAGGATGGAGTTCCGACGATCCACAGAGATGTAAGTGACCATCTAGCAAGCCTACCTAGGAATGTCAATAGGTACTAGTTTATATCTCTTCTAAGTAGTGCACTGACCAAGCCACAGTTAAATGTTCCATCCCAAGTCCCCAGTGCTAGCCCATGCACCAATGCCCTTTCTCGTTATCATGATCATCGATGTATCTCCTTAGGCGCGTCTCTCGTGTTCTTTCAGAAACGTCCCAAGTGAGGATCGCGTAGCTATACAAGTGATTATCGTTAGCTTCTAGATGTCTGAACGGCAACACAATCAGGCAGGCACCCCACTATTATAAACCCTACTTTGGATACTTACCAAGTTGCATTATGAGTTATGCATTAGATGTAGTCTTGGATAATGATCACTCTTATACTACACCTAGAGTAGCTTAATAATCTGTAGAAGCCTCTCATCCAAACAATGGGAATGGGAACACTTAATGCTTATTGCTTAGTTGCTTGGGCAATGGTAGAAGTCAAGCATGAGAAGGGAACTGATACTTGCGAGTGTAGGATGTTACACCTGGATAATTAACTACTAAAACCAATGAGGGTACAACTTGACTTACCTAACTAATCTGGCTAAGGACTAATATCCCTAATAGGATAATCTTGATGATAACATGGATATCTTGCTCATGCGAAGGGTAGGTCATCGTGAGTGTGGGATCTCAGGCGACGTAGCTCGTGGAGCAGTAAGGACCGTGTATTGGGATACGTAAGTCCGAGTAACCACCCATACAGAACACATGTCGCGGATGGGGTCGACAAGCCAAGTAACAAATTGCAACCTATTTATCCATGAAACTGGCAAGGGGGTTGGAGTTAGTTGGGAATGTCTGGGACATTGACTGGGCAACCGCTCGAACCTTTCGTTGGACACTTGGGCCGGACTAGGGAAAGGTTGGAAGGCATGAGGCAACCCTTACTCTCACGCAAGGGTATGGTGGTTAGTCCCGTCCTTCTATGTGGGTACAGTTGTACACCTCTGCAGAGTCTTGAAAGCCTGGAGTCCCTCGGGATAGAACTATTCAGTTGTTCTTTCTTTCTATACCTATGGTAGCATGAATAATGGACTATGAGCACCTTTGTTATAATGATAACTACTCTTACTTCTATGTTGAGCATAGCATGTCATACTCTTAATGAACATCATTGCTTTCCACAGTTATACAAATGCCCGATAACTACCCTGTGCATCCACTAAATATTATATGTTGGAATTAAGTCCTATGAGTATGAAATGTATTCACAGTGCAGCCGTTAAGTTGTTTTGCAGGTAGACCAGACATTATCTCCGAGGCTAACTCCGATAATGCAAGTTAGCAGACCTTGGAGCGGGCACTCTCCAAGATGAGCTGCGTGTAAATCTGACGGTTTGACGAGCGATAAGAGTGGCAACCTAGTGCAGGAATAGAGTTGTCAGAGTATTAGATCTAGTAGTACGTTTATACACTTGAAACCTATTTTGTTATCAACAATGTTTTAGAATTAGATGTAAGGCTGGAGTGTGTACGTGATTGAGTTGTATGATATGCATTGTGTTGGGTATGTGTGTGTAACTCAACATGAATATCTTGAAGAGGAGTTGCTACATGCGCTCCTAGGGGTTTCGTGCTATCACTTTAACTTGAATTGAGTAGGTCAAGTGGATGACCCTCGATTTAGGTGGATTAGCACGGCGGGTGCCCCCCCCAGGCCCCGTCCCCCATGCCATGCTCCTAGACCAGATATGGGGAGCTGCTACTGCCGGGACCGGATTTGGCCGGGACCGATCTCGCTTGCGCACGCGGTCGCCACTGGGACAGCTGGATCGAGGGCCGAAGGGGGTTGCGCCGCCGGCCTCCTCATCGCCTCCACGCCGACAAGAGA